TTGCTTTATATATTTCTATGGTTATCAATTCCAACATTACAATGCTATTTTTTCAAAATTACTTTATGTAGAAAAAGCAGGACAAAAATAAGGCACTGGAATAACAGGTCATTCATCACAAAATTAAATATTCTGAAAACCAGGGTCTACTTTTAATTGCAACACCAGCCCAGTATGTTTATGAATGTTATTTGTGCACTAAATTATTCAATAATTATGCAAAAAGCCCAGAAATTATGCAAGTTCAAAGCTATTTCTCTTTAACCTTTGTATGGTATGTAAAGTAAGAAAAATACTTGTCTTTGTGCATTTTTTCATATTCTCTGTAGGTTCACTTTTTCATGCTAACATTAAAGTACCAAACATGAACAGATGTTATAAATAAACAGCCTGTACTCATGCAATAAGTTGGGTACTTGCCTTTTCTTGGTGCCCAGTTGCTACTGGTTATTCCTTTCTCTTGTTTTGTTGGTTTTGGGTTGTTTTTTTTCCCTTAAATTGAGTACTCCAAGGATCTGCTCTCCATCATAAGCTGAAGAACCAAATCCTGAGTGGCAGGTGGTCTGTCCCACACTGAAACAGATTGTGATGGGATAGAAAAGTTTCTGCTTTTTTTAAGTTGTACTGAAAAATCTGTTTTCTTTGAACTATTTTCTCTTCGACAAGCTCTCTGTGCATGTCCTCAGATTCTTTGTGATTTGCTGGAGCAGGGATGTTTTGGCCAAGAGCAGATCCATTTACCAGACCTGCAGAGCAACCAGGAACCTCAGAGGTCCTCTGGCTGGTCAAAGGTCCTCTGCACAAAGCTCACTGATCAAAGCTCACTGAATTACTGCAGCTCAGGAAAGCTTCTGATCAGATATAAATTTTGGGGGTTTGATGCAACTCATTCTCAAGCCAAGCTGAAATAAAAACCACATGGGTGAATGTGGTAAATGTATTTGTGGCTGGGAGGCAGCAGCAGGGCGTGGAACAAACTGCACCTTCCTGAGATAGTTCATTGCTGTCATCCTTGCTTTTGGTGGTGTTAATATGCTCCTGTTTTACCCCACAAACAGGGCAGCAAGGCTGCATGAGACAGGCTGCAGAGAAATGTCAGAGTTACAACCTAACACAGCACATTAAAGTTTTCCCCAGAGGACACTCTTGTACTGAAATATACCATTTTTTATAGTCCTGAGCCTTCAGTCTGGAAATCCTGATTTCTATAAAAACTTTGTTATGAGAAAGTAAAATAAATCACTGAAACCTCAAATTACAATACTTATATTAAGTCAATACCTATATTTAACTCTATTTTTTTCTTGAGATCTTTGTAAAATACATCTACTACCAATATTCAAGTAAGAATTACATGGTATTTATTTTGTTGAAACACAATTCCTCAAGAAATCCAGCATTAAAGATGTAAAAAATTTCCACTCCACTCGAAATTTCAAAATTGCTAGTTTTACATCACTTTGCAACAAGTTTTGAAACCCTTTCCCACAATACAGGAATTCCTATTTTTGCTCTGATCTACAGTCTCTTAATTGGCATAAATCATACACACACACCTTTCATACAAATAAAAAATGTTGTATGAAAAGACATGGCTGGAATCTCAAAATGAAGGCATTATTTTACAGGTGCCATCATTGTGCTCAGTGTTGGCACCCAAGACATGCAGGGAGCACACAAACAATTGAACAGCATGGGTGGATCACTGGAGCATAGACCAGTGCCCAGTGGTCATGGTCCAGTTATATTTGCTAGGATGGTGACAGGCAATGAGAAGATATTTACTCCTGAGTTGAAGCATGAAGAAATTAGCAATAGCCAAATAATAACTGCAATAGGGATCCCTCAGTATGACACAGCCTTACCCTAAATGAGCCACAAAGGGTCCTGTCTCTAGGACTCCTTCTGTACCTCGTCATTTCAAATTCTTTGACAATGATATAGCCAAACATGAAGATATAGCCAAATATAAACATGAGGATCTGCTTCATGGGGGCCATTTCATAAACATAAAATGGATCCCCTTTCCTCTTCAGTGGTGGTTACATTCTTGTTTACCAAATACATTAATTAGAAAGCAGAGATCTTGACTCATTTTAATTTATGTGACTAACAGATTGAACACAAGATGGGTGATGCCAATTCCAGCATATTGAATATTTGCCACCTGGATCCACTCCATTTCTGATTTAAGAAGATTTTTCAGTGATAAGAAATGAAGCTGCAACTTCTGTATCTTTGACTCTGTAACCACGGAAACCAGCATTAATTATATGTATCACTAAGTTTTAAATGTATTCAAATTTAACACATAGCTCTGAAAATATTGAAGTTGTTTTTCTTTTTCTCTCTCACCTTAATATGTTACAGTTTGCCTTCTGGCTTATTTGGCTTATAAGCAGTTTCACTTATAAAATGATAAAAGTATGTAGGTGAAAATTACACTCATTTTCTTTTATGTAACCAAGAGGTAGAGCCATGTAAATGTTTGATCACTCACTTCCTGCCACCCCTGTCATCAACTGTGTGGAGTTACATTTCATGTTAAGGAGGTGCCATTCCCAACAGCGAGAAAGCAACAAAGTTCTGCCACTGACTTTACAAAATAGTAACATCTCTATGGAGGGCCACAGTGATGGCTCATGGAAATAGGAATATAAAGGAAAGGAAACAAGGAGGAAAGAACCCCACAATTTTCTCATTCTTCCCACTTCTGTACCATAACTCTATAATAAATGTCAGAGAAAAAGTTGAAATAAACCTCTGAGGAAATCTGCATTCCCAGACTTGCAACTGACATTTTGGTTTAGTGAACTGCCAAATTTCTAACCATGTTTGTTCTATTTTACCAAATTCCATGATTTATGCCTGAAGGATCCTGCACATTCAGCATTTAAGCCATAAAATTATCAGCAACACATTCAATTGCTTCATACTTTTTTCTGCAGCTAAATGGGCATCTGCTATAGTCAAAATGTGACATGGAAGCACCAGAGAACTGACAGGATAAGGCTTTTAGATCAAAAGCCTTATCAGTTATTATCCCTTTTTTAATTCATACCAATAGCTGAGTGTGGAAATGCAACTCCAGTGCCAGAACTCAGGTGGCTGACAAAGACCCAGGCTTGGAGCAGAGTTTCTGGGTATGGCTACACAAATGAGCTGAGCAGTATCTGGGACTAATCCCTGGAAGCAGAATTCAGTCATTGCAGTGTTAAACTGTGAGGCACATCCTCTGGATGGTTCTGGCCAGAAGTTACCAAACAATTCCCAGGCACAGCTCAAGAGCTGACACAGATCCAGGACTTGTTGTAATTCAAAGTTTGGGTGTGGCTACTCTATTTTGGACGACAAAGGCATCTATTAGCATGGACACAGTCCATAAGTGCCAAAACCAAACCCAATATGATATATTAGCATAAAAGGGACCAGTGAGGTCGAAGTTTAGCTTGTCACACATGTGTAATGCAGAGCACCAGGTTCAGTTCTCCATGACATCTGGCTGCTGGTTTCCATCTATATTTCACAAAAATTTTTCACATTGATATCAATCAAACTGAACTGAAGGAACTGCACAGGAGCGTGGGAAGGCTACAACATCTTCCAGGGCTGTGTTTTCTCTGACTAATTTAGTGTTCATAACCAGCCTGCTTAGGAAAAAAAAACCTACCCTACCTGGAGCCAACAAAGGAATAGGGTTGTTTGAGTATTTAGGGAGCAGTCACAAGCTTTCCTAGGTTCCTTCTCCAGTCAATGCAGAGACAGATCCCTCCAGCAGGTGATTCAAACGAATTGTTGAAATTCAGCTGCAGTAGAGGGCAATTCAGGGCCACGAGCTTCCTAAAACAGGTTAACTTCGGGTGCCTCCAATCACACTTGAATTCCTCAGAACATTTTAAGATAATCTTTGATAATTTATTAACCTAAATCAAACACTTTGCATTTCATAATCAAACTTCAACAAGCAACTGCTAATTTAGAATGTCACCTCTAGTAGATAAGACAGAGGAAAAAAGAGGAATGCTAAGCTAAATTCCTCTGTTAAATGGCCACAGGCAAATCAGCTTAAACAAAATCTGATATCCACAGAGAGTTTGGTTCTCTGTGTTTTATAATATCCAAGAAATCCAGGTGGGAAGAAATACCTGAGTCTATCAACTGAAAAGGAAAAAAAAAACAAAACAAAGCAATACTGAAAGGGTTGCCTCACTTTATCCTGTCCTGGTTCACAGAAGTGACTTTAGATCCAGGTGCTGCTTTCTACCTGGTATTATTGTGCCAACACTGTAAATCAAAGATCATTTTTATCTAAGGACAAAGTACCAAAATGACCACTTCTTGTTTCAGGAAAATAACAAATTTGAGAAGTAGAAGTAGCTACCCCTGAACCAAAGATACTAGCTAAAATATATACCTTTTCCTTCTTATGCTATTGATTTGCTCACTGGTGTTGAGAGGCAACATTTATCTTTGTTTTACTTACTTTTAATGGTAGCTTTCAAGACACTAAAATGTGGGCACTGTAATGAATCCCCTGAAGCCTATGGGAGCAATTTAGTAACCTCTGAGAATGACACATTAGGACTGTATAGACCTCCTTATTTATATTGTAGTAGTTCCTATTACTAGTGGACGTTTTGGAGACAATCTGGTTCAGCCCCTGTGCCAGGCTGGGCCAGCAATTATTTGTGCTTGCTGAGAGTCAGGACACTGCACTGGTATGCCAGTGGGCTAATTAATTCCTGAAAATGCAAGCTGCCCTAATTAAAAAGCTGTAAAAACACAACACGTTTTGAAATAACCTGAGTTCCACATGGGGTAGCAGTAGTTGACCCCACTGAATTTTCTCCCCATTTTGAGGGGCCAAATGAAGTTAGTAGCCTGATGGTTTCCACTCAGCAGCCACTGAATCTGATTTCCCTCAGTATGTATCTCCATGCAAAAATCAATTCAACTCAGCTTCCTCAGCTTAAGAAAAAGGTCAGCTAGAAAAAAAGTAGTATACACATCTGTACTGTCACAGGAGGTGTGAAGGAGAGAAACAAGGAATGACTACCAACTGTTTCTTACTATACAATACTACAGAATCAACTAATGAAGTTACCAGGCAATAAGATGAGAATAAGTCAAAAGAAGTTGCCTACCCCCAAGAAACACACACAAAGCAATAATTAAGTTACACAATTTAATTATAGAATTTAATTGTCACCACAGGATACAATGGTTTATAATCAAGTTCAAATAAGAATAAATTCAGAGAATCCACCAAACACAAATGATCCAGATGTAGGATCTCCTTGAACACTATTGTTTTACTTCAATACTTGCTGTTAGAATTTGTTACCAACCAATGACCAAGACAGGAGGCAGGACTTGTACCTGAGAGTTATTGTGCCTGTGGTTCTCTTAGTTTATCTTGGTCACATCCTCAGGGCTTAAGAATAAGAACTAATTGTACTTAGTACAGATACCAAGGGCTTTGCAAGGCAGTTTTGGAGACGCATTTCTCTCACCCAGTGAATCAAGGGTCTGATTACACAAACCTGTTACCAAAATACTCCCGGATGACCACACATCCTGTGGCAAACCCACGGCAAATGCTGTTATGTTATATCACCATGCAAAGCTTGCTTATTGCACTTTAGAATTAAAAATCTCCATTGGTGATTATTTTTTGCTATGTTTATTAAACATTTTCTTCCATATTACTAAGTCATTGAACTCCTAAACTCACTCCCTTATTATTTTTCAAAAGATAAAGAGCCGATGGGAGAGGGGGCAGGAAAGAGGGAGGCAGTGCAGAATAATGGATATTATTTGCCTTCTTTTCACTTTATCAAGAAGGCTATCTTTTTAAAAACCAACCTCTTTGTTACTACAAGCTGCTCTGTACACTGTTCTATTGTTCCTGGAAAATAAGACTGACCTTTCATGAACTTTTCTCAGGCCCAGGATTTTCCAAATACTTTTGGATTTCTTATATTTTTAACAAATTAAATACTTTACATTCAGCTATACTTTGACAGAAAAATTACTCCAATGAGAGACTTAGTGAGACTAAATGATAATGGTCTCTGAAAGTGAGGTTGCTGAGAAGGCTAACTCAGATGGGTTTACCTTCTGAGTACCAGTTCCATTATTTCCTATTCACTTCAGGTTGGACTGACTGCCAAGACTCACTGATATTAACCCTACTTCTGAACTCACCCCTAATTATCTCCAGAATATCTGACAGCCAACTGAGTGCAAAACTCATTGGCATTTCATCCTATTACAGGAGAAAGAAATGGCCCCATTGAAGTGGCTTCTTTGTCTAAGCACAGCGCTAAGCATCTGCGAATTCCTATTCCCTTCCCCACAAAGCAAACATTGCTTCTGCTGTAAGAGGATAGCAGCCCTATTCTGCAGTGCAGCTCAGTACTTCGTGCCTTTGTCTGCAACACATTCTCCTATAAAAGCAAACTCAAACCCACCCTTGCCTGAAACTCATTTTAGATAGTGGAATCTTAATAATCCATCCAAAAACCTGCCAGAATCCATTGTAATACAAGACTGTTTCAAGGAGGATTTACAGGTAGCAGTTCTTTGGTAGATGGGGGTGTTACACATCTGTGAATTCCCTTTGCTGTGCATAATTAGGAAGTATTTACATATGCTACTGCTTTTCACTGTTCTGAAGCACTCAGAGGAAGCCAAGCTATTGTATCATAAATCTCGTTGTTGAAGCAGATGGAGCTCCTTGCTCAGTTAAAACTTAGAGTTAGGCTTAATTAGAAAAGCCTGTGCAGAATATTCTTTATTTCTTTACCAACTTATCAAGTTCTTTATATTGCAAAGCAATTCAGATGAGAGGTCTTTTGAAATGTGCTTCTAATAAGCATTTTTACACTGTCTCTTGCAGACAGCTCAATCACTACACACTGAATGATTATTTCCCACCCTGTCCAGGCACAGTTACACTGCAATTTTCCTCTCTCCTTCCCTCTTCCAGAAAAATCATACAAGTGGCTGTTTCTCTAGTGTTGCCCATGTAAAGATCTCAGAACCTCCTGTGCCCCTGTGAATTATCACAACACTTCCTCAGGATACTAATCCTAAACTTTTGAAGAAATTGAGTACAAAGAGATAAATACGAAGATTCTTTAAAAGTTGTTGAAGGTTTGGTTGCTTTTCTTTTTTAGCTCACACTGGCCTAACTTTCAGAAGCACTGATCAGCCACAAACCCAGGCAGTGAAAACTGTGAATGCTTCAAATCTTAGTTAATTTTGCAGAGCTCAAGTTGGATCTTTTTTGTTACCCTAAGGTCTCATTGCAATTCAAACCTGTAGATTGTAATTTTGCAATTTTTGTTCAAGAGGTGGGCTGGACAATCCTGCATAATAGGAAATCTGTTTGGTATTTTTAAATAATTAAAGGAATTTAGTAATTTCCCCACATTGGTTCAGTTTTTCAAGGCTCCATCACTTGGTCCTGGAGTTGTGTTTGAGAGGGTAGAGCCTCTTCACAGCACAACCCCCTGCTCAGCTGGGTGGGCCATGGTGCAGACCAGCCCAAAAAATCACTCCTTGTCTGTAGCAGCCACACACAGCAGCCAAGAGGCTCTCCAGGCCATGTGCTGGGAAGCAGCTGCAGAACTTCTGGGAAAAACCACCTCAGACTGTGCACAGCTAGTGATTATAAAACCCAGCTAAAATCAGTGTTAAATGCAGTGGCCCTGGCTGCACTTGTGTTCTAGAAATATGATGCCGAGATCTGAGCTGGATCCAAAGGGATTTGCTTATTAGTCATGGTGATGTCCTGGAAGCCAAGTTAGATGAACAAAAAGCATTTCTGGATGTTGAAGTGATGCACCTCAGCTGAGTAGCCCAAGCCAGATCCAAGCAAACTCTTCCATTGAGGCACTGACAATCCACTGCTTGGGTCCAGGGCATGGGCAGCTGCCAGCCAATGCAGAATGTTGGTGATGCATATAAAGCCTTCTCCCTCCCATCTGTTCACCACATCTGGATGAACAACCTGCCCTCCAAACTGAGATCTGTGGTCCAACTCTCTGTCCCCCTCAGGCTGCTCTGCAATTTAACACACTTCCACCTTCACAGCAGTCTGGAGATGCAATCCCTTCAGAAGAGCAAAGCTAATAGGAGTGACAGTAGCAATGTCCTCCTTCCCCCGCCCAGTAACACCAAACCTTATATTTTAAAACAAAATTTGGTCAGTGATAGGAGCAAGATTACAGGATACAGTTGGCTTCTCATTCCATGTAAACAAACAGGAGACTTTGTACAGGGATTCTGAGCATGTAGCTGCATTTTCCTTGGCAGAACAAGTATTTTGAGGCTTTTGCTCTATTCAGCCCTTGAGAATATATTTGCATTCAAGACAAAATTTCTTTCCTCCATTTCATGCTTCTGTGTATCTCTATGTGGCTGCAGCAAGGCCAGCATCCCCTTAGGGGTATTAGACCAAGCCAAAAGCAAAAGAACAGGAAGAACACTAAGAAGGTAAAGCCCAGTCAAGCAATTAAAATGGACTTTGCACTTCGATAATTCCCAATTTGTACTTTACCCAAAAAAAATTAGCAAGCTATGTAAAATGCTTTAAGAACTGCTAGGAAAAGCAAGCAGGTGAAACGTGCAAGTGCACATAAGCTATCACCACAACCCATCATAATCATGCTCCTCTCATGTTCCTGCTGTGACCACCTGTGACTCGTTAGCTCTCTTGGCTTGGGAGAAATGCCAGTTTCTAGCCTCCCACCTTGGCTTCTTCTGATGCAACTTAGGAAATTTTGTCACATACTACCATAGCCTTAAAATGCACATACTGTATCTGACTCACCACTCCTGACCCTTCCTGAACAGGGTTATGGCTTTCAATTTTGGGATCTGCTTAGCAGCAAAATCAGCTGCTGACAGAATATGATGCATTCAACAGTCCTGAAGCCCAAGGGAACAAAACAAAGGTAAGTGGCTAGGCAAAGCCTACAGAGGTAATAAAGGTACAAAATCATTTACACTGTAAGAAACTATAGCAACTTTTCAAAAATAGATCTGTGAACGCATTAACTTCTCATTAATCACAGTGAGGAGACTGAGAGATTATGTACCAGTCACAAGCTACTTCAAATGTCACCCTTTTATAATTCTGTCAAGCCACAGACAACCTGTGTTCCAGAATCTCCAGACTCACACCACGGACATAGCGCCACCAGCTGTGAAAGTCAGATGATCTGCCTTTCCAGTTCCCATCCTCTGAGCAATGGTTCTTCCATATTCAGAGATTGTGTATAGCAACTTCTTTCTTTCATCAACCTGTTATCTTCCAAAGATACCCATTGCTCTTCTTCAGACCAAAATGTCTGTGAAGAGATCTATGCTGTGAGTTCTCAGCACCCTGGTCTCTCTAATATTGTTAGTGACTATTGTCTTTTCATCTTTATAGCCTTTTCTTGCTATGGCACATTCAGAGGCCTTGTCACAGCTTGGTTTCTCTCCCTGGTTATAGTCTTCCTCTTCCCGTTTTCAAAAGCTAACTACAAAGATTTCCCACACATCACTTTTCTTTTCTGGTAAAATATCTTTCCTTCCCATTGTTCATTGTACTTTGGTCTCTCCACCTGCTCAGAACTTCTTTCTTCCTTTCACACTGTGCAATTATCTTTCACAAGCTGCTTTAAGCTCTGCAGCAACCGCAAGTGCTGAAAATCTCAGCAAACATCACTGAGCAACTGCTTCCTCCAGTGTGAAAAGCTCATAAATTACAGATATGCCACTATGTGCAGTGTTATCTGTACATCTTTCTCCAGTCTCCACCTCCAAAATAATCCCCCCACCTCTGGAACAGGAGAAGATGCTTAACTTCTAGAGCCAGAAGCTGCTTGCCACAAGTGTCAGATTAGCAGTAGAGACTGAACCCTGCTGAGTTTTTACAGCTTTCAAAAGCTGTGTCCCACTGCATCTTCTGGCTTTTGAAATGAAATCTCACCATTCACCTCATTGTCTCACCTCATCGACTTTTTTTTAATGAGTTAAAGCTGTTCGTGCATCTCATTTATTCCCTCACAGCAAAACTCTTTGCCTGAAAAACTATGTGCACATTTGCTCCTTATATGTTATGATTCCAAGGCCTTTACAAGGGCAATTTTAAATTTTCCTTGCTCTATACAGCACCAAACACAGCAGGTCCTAACTTTGTGCATCACTAAGCACTACACAGTGAAAGCCAAATAATGAATAGAGCTGTCAATATTTAACTTACTGAGCATTTCCCTCGGGCCCTCAACACACCTCTCAGAAACTCCTGCTTGGAGGTTCTTTCACAATGAAGAAAACTCATCCATTTTTTCAACTCATTTTTTTGACTTTTCTGTGGTGTGACCGGCAAAACACCACAATGATACTTCCACATCAGGTTCATCATCTCTCAACACGAGATCCTCTGCCTTTTCACTCCCTCTTAGATCAAGGCAGCTCACTGAAGTGTGAGACTCCCTAATCTAATATCTTCAGCCTTTTATCACCACACATTTCAAGTTCAATTAGTGAGGGTGGAGAGGGGACAATACTGACATGCAGGACAGGCTTTTTCCCTTTTACCCCTGTTGCAGTTTAACCCCAGCCAAGCCCCAGGCAGCCACTTGCTTACTCCCCCACCAGTGAGATCAGGGAGAGAATCGAAAGGGTAAAAGCCTGAAAACTTGTGGGTTGACATAAAGACAGTTTACTAGGGAAAGCAAAAGCCAAGCACACAAGCTAAGCAAAACAAGGAATTAATTCACTGTTTCCCATGGGCAGGCAGGTGTTCAGACATCTCCAGGAGAGCAGGGCCCCATCACACATGAAGGTGGCTTGGGAAAACAAACACCATCACTCCAAATGGCCCCCCCCCTTCTTCCTTCTTCCTTCCATTTTATATACTGAGTGTGATGTCATAGGGTCTGGAATATCCTTTTGGTCAGTTTGGGTCATCTGTGCCACTGTAAGGTGAATTAAATCTACCTCAGCTGAAAACACCACACCCCACAGACTCTGTGCTGAATAAAAAGTAGGCAAGAAAGAAACTTTAATGAAAAGGTCCCCTTTTCACAATTATGATTAAATTTATGTAATCTTTAAGGAGCTCTGAATATTCCAAAGACACCCAGACCTGTCCAATGGGCAGGAGAAATTACCTGCCAACAGGCTGATTTAGAAAGATGTATTCTTTCCCTGGAAATATGGACATTTCTTCAATCCAGAACAATAGTCGGATTTTTAAAAGCAGACCTCACGAGCAGAACAAGGCACAGGAAAATAAAAGACAAGGGGAGAGAGAAACTGCCTTAAGAATGTGTTTAGCAGCTATGCTTCAAGGTCTTACTGAGCAGTGTGTAAAATGTAACACAACAGGACTTTTCAGCTTGAGGCAACAGGGAAGGGAAAGAGGGCTGATTCTGCAGGTCCTCCTGCTCACTGATGCTGTGCCAACATTCAAACAGGGAAAAACCGTGGAAATAATCTCCCTTCAGCTTGGAGCTTAAAAGTCCATATATGAGGCAACTTCTAAATATATTAAATCTTCCCACATGATTTCCAACATGAAGAAAATTAAGAAAGTCAGGCTTTGTCTTAAAGAATCACTTTCTTCAAATCGAGAAAGTGCCTAAAGTTGAAAGAGTTGTGAGCTAGATTCACAGTGGAAACAGACATAACCAAAACTTTTGAAGGGAATTGCACTAACTTTCCTCTGATGAACATCTATCTCTATTGTCCTGGTTGCAAAATCACTCATCTCAAAAACACATCAACTTTTTGGAACCCAAAAATGCATTCATCTTATATGTTCTTTGTTGTAGCTTCAAAGTAGAACTGCATAGTCACTGATACATACGGGAACTTATTTTGCCATGTCTGGATGTCTGATCCTGCATAAAGAGATATTTGTTTAACAAACCCTTTGTTTCCTGTTGCTTTGTTGCCCAGGGGTTAATTTCGGTATGCCACATGCTAAGGGATATATTGCTTTAAAAAAAGGAAACAGAGGGGATGCTGTTTGTCTGGAATGCAAAGAGAATGGAGCCAATCACTACAGAAAATAAAGACTGAGCCCTATGCTTTGCCACTGCTCTGGCTCAGAAGGTGGTGCTTGGTCTGGCTGATCACAAAAAACAGGGATTTTAATACTGTGACTGAGCCCATGTTTGCTGCAGAGTGATACACTGCTGTAAAACACTGAAACACGACATCCAGAGGGAGGTTCTGTCCCACTGGATGGAACAATTAGTGAAATTTTGCAACCACAGCTTTATCCTGAAAGAAGCCTGGCTCACCAGGATACTATGGGAAATTTACACTGGATTAGAAAATACTTCAATTAAGACTCAATGGATGTTCCCAAATACCCATGCAAAGGGTGAGACCATCAAGATTTAGGGGTCAAACAAGAAAGCAAAAAGGCAAGTATTAATGACAAAGGATATTTTAAGACTAGCCCCATGACTCAGGAGCTGCTAAGGGATATGGTCTGGCAGCCTTGCAGGTCATTGCACACCAGCCTTGTTCAGGCTGTCAGAGCCAAGTGGATCTGAGCTGGTCGCCTCCACTTGTCTCATCTCATTTACCAAGAGGTGGCTCTTAAGAGATCCCAACACCTATGGCACTTTAACAGGAGAGAGCTACAGAACAGGGGTCTAGCAAAGGGAAAGTTCATCCTGTGCCCTCACATTTATCCAGACAAAGAGATTGCAGTGCCTTGGTTTGAAAGACAGGCATTTGTTAAGAAAGGCAGAAACCTTTCTTGAAATGGATTATATAAACCCCTTTTCTCTAAATTATTATAATTTTGAAATTAAGGATCTTTTAGGCAAAGATATGGGAACAGGAAAAACAGTTTTTTACTAGGAAAAAAGTTAAAAAAGAAATACAGTATCACAGAAAAAACCTCAAACCCAAAACACTGACAGAGTCAGAATACAACCTGACACCCCATCAGTCAGGGTGTTGGTAGCAGTCCCATTAAATGGTGGCTGCATCCTCCTGGATGACAGATTCAGTTTAGTTGAAGCAGTGCTCTTGTAGAAGGGTGCAGTTTTCCTCCAAGGGTCCAGTGATGATGTGGAAAAGTCCAGTTTCCCTCTGGAATGCAGTGGAAAAAGGCTGCCTTGGTGTTCCAAATCTCATATTTTATCTAGGTAGGAAATGTTTGGCTCCTCTCCCTGGCTGGAGCATCTCCCAATGGAATGATGTAATTTTATCAGTCTTACAGTAGGACTCCATGGCCCATTAACAGAAGATATCTTCCTGAAGGAAGGATGGGTTGTGGAAAAGATAAAGAACACTGCACCACTTGGTTTTAATAGATGGTTCATTAACAGAAGATATCCCCCTTTGGAGATAAATATCACTGCCCCACCTGGTTTCAACAGATGGTGATAGAATACATGCTTTTGGCTACATCCTGCTTTGCAAGCCAAGACACAGACACAGGTCTTTGGAGGAAAAATAGGAGTCCATAATTTCTGTAGTAGGTGGCAACATAATCTGCCTAGTACAAGGGCAAAGTGGCATCAGAATACTTGGAAATGCCACATAAAAAGTCAGGAGGAATATTAACATCTCCAGGGTGTGGCCCTCCAGGCTTTGTTTTTCAATTAACAGATTGGAGGTTCTGTGGCACTGGCTTTTTAAAAACGTGTGAGAAGGGACCAGGTGACCTCACTATTTAGGGAAGAATGGTTTTGTCCTTCAACTAACAGCTTCTTTAGCCAACAGTCAGTTTGGTTGCAGTGGGGAAGGCGAAGTGGCCCCCTGAAGAATGCCCCACATGAGGAATTCAGGCAGAGAAGATCAGTCCAAGGCTATATCACTCCCCTCCTCATGCCAGGCTAGAAGCCCTGTAGGTATGAGACAATCCTGCTGCCATCAGTCATGCCCACACAAGAGCAGCCTTTCTTTGGGACAAAGGGGCAGGAAGGTTCCAGCATCACCCACATTCCAGCACCTGATGGAGAGAAGGGGAGGGAGAGTTTACCCACCATCTCCCTTCTCTGCCTCAAGTACTACATGGAGGTGAAACCTCTCACACAACTCTGACCAAGCCTCTGGACCCCTGCTCATAAGAGAAGCAGGGAGGGTGGTGGAGGCAGTCTCTGAAAGCTCCATGTCTCACTTTGTCCCAAGGAGAGGGCAAGAAATGGGTTCAAATACTTCTAGGGTCCTTCATTATCATTCCCCCTCTTTCCATCTCCGCTCCTGTAGCTTACACCTACAGAGAGGAGCCTGGTGGATTGTCCTGCTTTCTTGCTTCATGCAGATTTTTATCCTTCCTTTGTCAGAAGCCCTTAGTCTCTTTCTGTTTGAAAACAGCTTTCAGGTTTTCTGGACTTCCCTGAAAAATGCAGTCCAAAAAAAAAAAAAAGTCCTATATCCCCCTCTTAGATTTCTTCCCAAGCTGGTTTTGGGTCCACATCAGCAATTCTAGCACAGACAGAGACTGCAGGAATCCTCTCAGCTCATGCAAAAGCTGCCAGGCTAGAAATCCTTTAGGATTTTTCTCCAGAACATGCAGAGTCTTAGCCCTGAACATTTAAGCCAGAAGTCTGGTTCTCAAGCAAATAAAGAGGCAAGAATCAAAGATGTAGTGCTGGTTCCCTTGTCTTTTGGAGCAGGGTACAAGTACATGGAGAATAAAAGGACAAGGATGGGGAAAAGAAGGCTGTATCTCAGGATCTCTCAGGATCAAATTGGAGAATATGGCTGTACTGGTCCGCTGCAAGTCTAGAGAAGGTAGGTAGATTTTGGACCATGCAGGCAGTCAGGAGACAGGAAGGCATATGTAACAGAGCCCAGAGCTCAGCTGGGTTGCACATGGTGTATTTAATAACAGCTTAGGTTCTCAGTAGCCTCCAGGCTCACCCTTCTTTCCCTCTTTCTGTGTGCTTTTTCTCAGGTATTTCTAGAGCCTAGAGTAAGTCTTGCTCTTGCTCCTTGGCCCAAATTACAGCATGTAGCCCACCAATTCTTCATGTTCTCTACTGAATAATGCTGTCTGGACTGTGAGATCAAGAAAAAGGAGTGAAGTCTCCATGTTTGACCACAGCGAGGTTCCTGCCACCTACAATAGCCCAGCTCCAGCTCTAGTTCCATTCCTATTCCCCAGCACAAGTGCAGTGACAAAAGTCTCATGCTTTGGGTTATGGCCAAGCATGGGCTCCTCTGACTGCCCTGACTCACAGTCTCACCCCCTAGGAAATGCACACATGAAGGACCCATAACTGCAAGGCCATGGACCCATGCCCCTACCTGCTTGCCCTCCCTGTCATCCTGACACAAGGCATTCCCAGGTAATGTGCAAATCCATACTGTCTCCACTCACCTTTCATTAGCCAGCAGTTTTCTTATGAGAAATATCCACCAAATCAGTGCCATACATCCAAGAGCACTTCTGCATTCTCCTTCCCCTCTCCCTTCTATCCCTATAATTCCCAAGCACTCTCACAACCCTATCCAAAGCAACCACAGCCTCAAAATGTGCCAGGAAAGCTGACACTACAAAACCAGCTACTTGACTTTCAAAGCCATCCTGCCCTTGGGGAGCTATCAAACACAGCTGTTCTGGGCACGCCAGCAAAAGCAGAGTGAAGCAACAGCATTACTGGGGGTTTAAATCCACCTGATATTGTTTTCAAACAGCTATTTTCCTGGTTGATCTTCTAAACATTTCTGAAGATTTCTATGCTGCCTGAATAGAAGCAGCAGCAGCTCCCAGTCTTGAGCAGCAATTCACTCACAGCACTGCTCTGAAATCCAAGCTTGTCCACTGCTGTATTCAATCTCAAAGGACTGGACCAGCATGTATGACCCAAACTCTGCTCACAGCTTTATTTTATATCAAAGGCCATAGTTTTTCATATTTCTTGAAGCTGCTGGGTTCTTTCTCCTGCCTGCTGTACACATGCAGTCCTGAATAGCACTGTGGGATATGTTTACCCTGTAGGGTAAACCCAAAAGAACAATTCAATCACCAGGAAAGAAAAGGGTTTTACTGTGGGGCAAACCTATTTGAGTGTCAGCGAGTGATGCCCAAGTGGTACAAAGGGTTTAGTCCAACTCTCATTAATTTCTGGGACAGCTTCTTGGCTAAGTTACACACACTCCTTTGAACCATATCTTAAGGCCTCCATCCCCAAGGGAAAATAACTCTTCAAGCAAAAATTAGTGTAATGAATAAAACATTTAAGTAAGATCCTTGAGACCTTATTTGCCCTGTGTGTTTGCCCAGTGGGGGCCTGGCATAAACATGCAGGTCAGAGACAAAGCTGCAGAACAAATAATTGGTTATTACTTCTGCCAACCTTAGAACTAATCCCTACGTGCATACCTGTACCACTCTTCCTGTCTTCTACTCCTGACCTCTGCTTTAGTATGCTCTTTAAACAGAGAATTTTGAAAAAGAGCTTCTGTACTTTGCCACTCCTCCACAGCTTTAGGGAAAGCTCAGCAACAAAGTTCTTTAGATACCTCCAAAACTGCCAGCCCTGAATAGTAACCCATTTCCCATTTTACCATCATACTTCAGAGTTCTCCATCACTAGAAAAAAATGTCAGTAGACTTTTCATTCCCTTTTTACAATGGAAAAACATATTCCTCCTTCCTGCTGCTATGAAAAGTAATGGATGCAAGAAACAAAAGTTAAATGTTCCAGCAGAGTCTTAAATGTCCAGCCAGTTATCAGTATCTCTCTCTTCATGTTGTTTTTATATCTCATGTCTTTATCCCCCCCTTCATTTCCCAAGCTAATAAGGGCTCACTTCTACAGCACTGTTCCCTAGCTTAGTGAAGGAAACATTTTGCTGCCTAGTGAAGAAGAAATTCTAACTTTGTTTTCTTTGCAGAATGATTGGAATAGTCTCCTGAGGAAAGTGCTAGAAGGCCAATTGGTTGAAACAGCTAAAACAAGGTATCATGTTTTTCAGGAACAAGGAGGGAATACACTGTAGAGAACAGTCCTTAACTGGCAAGAAGTGACTGTTACACCTAAATGTACAGAAAGTGCTGATGATAGTGGGATGATGTGGCTTCCACAGGGATTTCCTGCCAGGGAGGGTGAGAATAGCTGAGCTGCTAAGGGAGATGTTTGTATCCCCCCCATTAGCACTGCCAGGGCACAGGATTGAGGAGCCATGACACAAAGAAAATGCACTCCAGGATGTCCATTCCCTCCCCTTAGCAGCACACATGTCCTCTGGATCCCTTTCCCCCCTACTGCTCTCCTTCGTTTGTCTCTAGAACACCTGTACTATATTGACACATCAGCAATCCTGACTTTTCTGCTCCTGACATGATCAAATTTTGTAATTATAGGGGAAAGAAAAG